ATGCCACAGTCCCTCGTAAACTAAAGCTAAGTCGCGCTCCCGAAACCAAGATGTCCCCAAGACGGTCTGATGGCTCCAAGACTGCCCACTGTGCTCTCAAGACGGCCTATAGGATGGCCTCAAGACGGACCAAGGAGCCTTCAAGACGGCCCAAGAGAGCCCCAAGGTCCTCCCCAAGAGGGGCCTCGAGAGGCAAAAATCTGTGCTGTTCTGAAACGGTGCTCAATGTGTCCGAGCTTGGAACGTCCCAAGACGGCCCAAGAAGCTACAACGAGAACCCCGAGACGGCCAAAGAGGCCCACAAGAGGGCCCAAAGACGGCCCAAGAGGGCTCCGAGACTGCCTATGACACGCCCAAGACTGCCCATGAGGGCCCCAAGGCGGCCCCAAGAAGGGCCCAAGAGGGCCCCCCCACGGCTCAAGAGGATCTCCAGGGGCCCATGAGACTGCCTCACAGGAGGCCAAGGCAGCCCCAACGAGTGCAGAAAAAATGTGTCACATGTGAAAGCATTCCTCCTCCTCCTCCTCCTCCTCCTCCTCCTGATCCTCTTCCTCCTCCTCCTCCTCCTCCTCCTCCTCCTCCTCCTCCTCCTCCTCCTCCTCCTCCTCCTCCTCCCTCTCCGCCTCCTCCTTCTCATCCTCCCATCCTCATCCTCGTCCTCCTCTTCTCCTCCTCCTCCTCCTCCTCTCCTCCTCCTCATTGCCCTCCTCCTCCTCGACCTCCTGCTCTATTCCGCCTCCTCCTCCTCCTCCTCCTCCTCTTCCTCCTCCTCCCTCCTCCTCCCTCCTCCTCCTCTCCTCCTTCCCCCTCCTCCCCTCCCCTCATCCTCCTCGTCCGCCTCGTCCTCCTCCTCCAACAACAACTTCACATCATCACCACCACGGCCACCATCATCATCATCATCAGCATCATCATCATCATCATCATCATCATCATCATCATCATCATCAGCATCATCAGCATCATCATCATCAGCATCATCATCATCATCATCATAATCATCATCGTCATCATCATCATCATCATCATCATCATCATCATCGTCATCATCATCGTCATCATCATCCTCAGCAGCATCATCATCATCATCATCATCAGCAGCATCAGCATCCTCATCATGATCATCATCATCATCACCACCACCACCACCACCACTACCATCACCATCATCATCATCATCAGCATCATCATCATCATCACCGTCATCATCATAATCAGTACCAGTACCATCATCATCACCACCACCACCATCATCATCATCATGATCATGATCATCATAATCATCAGCATCATCATCAGCAGCATCGTGATCGCAATCGTCATCGTCATCGTCATCATCATCATCATCATCATCATCATCATCATCATCGTCATCGTCATCATCGTCATCAGCGATAGCACAATCAGCATCATCACAATCACCATCACCATCATGATCAGCAGCAGCAACAGCCGCATCATTAGAATCATCATCAGCAGCAGCAACAACATCATCATCATCATCGTCATCAACATCGTCGTCATCATTATCGCATCATCATCATCAGCATTATCATCACCACCATCATCCTCATCATCAACATCCTGAGCATCATCATCAGCAACAGCATCACCATCAACAATAGCATCATAATCAGCACATTCATCATCGCCATCACCATCACCATCACCATCACCATCAGCATGGTTATCATCAGCATCAGCAGCAGTACCATCAGTATCGGCATCACCATGGTCAGTATCAGCATCAGCATCGTCGCCACCATCATCATCAGCATCATCAGCGACAGCATCATCATCACCATCACCAGTATCATCTTCATCATCATAATCGTTATCGCCATCATCAGGAGCATTATCATCATCAGCATCATCATGGTCGTCATCATCATCAACATCGTCAGCATCAGCCTCATCATCGTCGTCATCATCAGCAGCATCATCATGATCAGCATCATCATCATCATCATCATCATGATCATCATCATCATCATCAGCATCAGCATCAGCATCATTATAATCATCGTCAGCAGCTGCACTATCGTCATCAGCAGTAGCAGAATCACCACCAGCATCGTCATCATCAGCAGCAGCATCAGCATCAGCATCCTCATCATCAGCAGCCTCACCATCAACAACAACGCCATACTCATCATCCCCATCCTCGCCATCATCATCTTCAGCTTCATCATCATCACCATCATCATCATCATCATCGTCATCATCATCAACACCAACGTCATCGTCATCATCATCATCATCAGCTTCATCATCATCGTCCTCATCATCAACACCAGCATTGTCATCATGAATGTCATCACCATCATCATCGCCAGCAGCAGTACCATCCCGCATCAGCATCGGCCGCATCATACCAAGAAGCAACACCAGCACCAACATCGGCTGCGGCATCATCATCGTCATCAGCATCTTCTTCATCATCACCATCAGCAGCAGTCGCACCAGCATCGTCATCAGCATCAGCGTCACCATCACTATCATGATAGTAAATCATCATCAGCATTAGCGTCATCAACATCGTCATCATCATCATCACCATCATCATCATCATCATCATCATCATCATCATCATCGTCATCGCCATCGTCATCATCACCATCATCAGCATCGTCATCGTCATCATCATCATCATCATCATCATCGTCATTAACATTAGCATCATCAGCGTACTTGTCATCAGAATCAGGATCATCATCATCATCAGCATCATCATCTTCATCATCACCATCACCATCATCAGCAGCACCAACATCAGCAGCACCGTCATCATTATCATCATCATAATCATCATCATCATCATCATCAGCAGCATCGTCATCAGCAGCATCGTCATCGCCATTGTCATCATCAACATCATGATCAGCAGCATCGTCGTCATCATCATCGTCGTCATCATCAGTGGCATCATCATCATAGTTATCATCAGTGTCAGGATCATCATCAACATCAGCATCAGCATCATCTTCATCAGCATCTCCATCATTATCATCATCAGCAGCATCATCATCATCATCAGCATCAGCATCAGCATCATCATCATCAGCAGCATCATCATCAACATCACCATGATCATCAGCAACATCATCATCATCGTCGTCATCATCAGCAGCATCATCATGATCAGCATCAGCATCATCATCATCATCATCATCATCATCATCATCATAGTCACCCCCATCACCACAACTACCCCACGCCTAGGGGCACGAGGTGTCACATGTTATGGCCTCCCGTGCCCCCTCGAACAGTCGCCACCAAGAATGCTGGGCTGGCACGGTGTCTGGACTGACCGCAGGCAGCTGGATAATGCACCCGAGACGGCCCAAACGACCCGCAAAAGGCCCCATCAAAAACCGCCCAACTGTTCCGCCAATGTGCCCGATGGCCAAGGGCTCCCACAACGGCCAGGGGAGCACGACTTTCAATAGCTGGGCCAAGCTGTCGCCCAATGTCGGCCAGCATGGGCTTTTCCAGAGAGGCACGGCTGGCGGTGACGCGCCGCAGACAGCTTCGACAAAGCGTCAAAGGGACTCGCGAACGCCTGCGACCGTCTCCTGGGCCGAGGCCCTTCGAAACAGCCGGCCCCCCATCTGGTGCACGTCCGCGCGGCGGCGCGGACGCGCAGCAGCGCGGTGCAACTCTTCCCAAAGCCATCTTGCCCTGCCCCTGCGTGTCTTCCCCTTCCCCCGTGCTTCCTCCCCCCCCGTATTCGCTCCTCGTCTTCCCTCTCCAACGTCCTCCCTAGCCCTGGTCCTTGCCTCCATCGTTCCTTCTCCTCCGTCGTGGCTTCTCACTGCTCCCGTGCCACTCCCTGTCGCCGTGTCCCTGCTGCGGTGCCTTCACCCTCACTATTCACATCCTCCTCCTCCTCCTCCTCCTCCTCCTCCTCCTCCTCCTCCTCTTCCTTCTCCTCCTTGCGACCGACATGACAGTGGCCCCTGCCTCGGGCGAGCTCCTGATGGGATCACTTCGGGCCCTCTGTGGGCTGGCTTGAGCACGGGGGGCCCAATTCCCGCACACGGCGACGACTTGAGCCAAAATGGCTACGGACCTTTTGGGGTGGAGCCGACTTCAATTCCACATAGGCTGCAGTCTACGGACCTCCTCCTCCTCCTCTTCCTCCCTCCCCCCCTCCTTCCATCCCTCCCTCGACTAGCACTACGAAAAACGTCCCCCCATCGAACGAACCACTCTGCTGCCAGCGCTGCCGCATCCTCGCCCTCCCTCCCTCCCTCCCGCTCCCTCCCTCGTCCCCCGTCCGACAAGCGCGGCGGAGGTACCGCCAGCGCGCACAAAAGGGGCGAAGGCGTGGGGGGGGGGCCCTGTAAGAAGGCAGGGACAATACCTCCCAGAAGCGAGCGGACGCTCCTGAGAAGGCCTCATAGAAGACAGGAGCGGTGGGCAGAAAATCCACCCCCAGAATAGTAAGCACCCCGACAAGCGAAGCCGTTCAATAAACGCCCCCAAGGAAGGAATCAACCAGGGCAAGGCTGTTCAATAAACGCCCAGGGCCGTCTAGTAAAAGCCAACTGCCGGGCGGTATCTAGGTGGCTTTTCCTCCCTTGAAGGAGGGCGTCCAAGAAGCCACCCGCCTCCTCACTGGGCCACCCACCTCCATCTGCGCGCCGGCAGGCGGCCGCACAAGCGCGGCGGCGAATTACCCGTGCTGGGAAAAGGAAGGGATGGTAGAAGGGGGGGGTCTGGGGGGTCGGCCACACGAAAGAGTGACCCTACAAGAACATCCCTCAAGAACATGGGACCATCCGCCAGCCAAAACACACAGAACATCCAAAGGTACCATCCCCAGGATGCACAAGAACGTCTAACATACACAAAGAACATTAGGATACCCTCCCCGAACCGACCTCGACATCCAATCGCAAGCACGAGTGCCCTGTGGTGCGCGGCCCAAGGGGCGGGCCCCTTGAGGACACCATTAGGCGCGCAAGCCGCTGCTGTCACATCTCACTACGCAATCGGGGGGGCAAACTGGGCCCGCACCAAAGGTCACTCTGGCAAAGGGTCATTCTTGCGTGTATAACGCGGACGCGGCCGCAAGAAACCCTCGCAAAAAACCCAACCTGGAAGACCCGCGCGAGAAGTGCGACTGGGGGGAAGCCCGGGGGACCCTGAACGCAGCAGCTTCTTCAACGGCCGCGGGAAGTCACCGCGCAGCGCGCGGAGCGAAGAACCCCCGGGCACCCCGACGAAGAGCACCTGGCTCCTTGATGGGCGTCTCCACTGCAGTCGAGGGGGGCGGGCCGGGTCGGCTCTGCGTGGCTCCCGGGGTCGGGTCGGCCACAGGTGCGAGGCGGGGATGCATCCATGTCCACCGCCAGGGAGCCGACGTCCTGGTGCCCCAGCGGGCGGCGGGTACGGACACATTCTGGCCCCATCGGGGCCCGAGTCTATCCGTATCCACCGCCTGTGGAGGTCCGCGAAGATCGATCCCCGGGCGGTGGTGATGGATATGGATAAATCCCCGCCTCGGAACAAGTGGAGCAAAAAGGCATCAGCTGGCCGCTCCGAGCCGCCCGACCGCTCCGAGCGGCGGTGGCCCTAGTCGCCCTCTCACAGCCGGCGGCCGGCGGGCGGCTGCGACAGCGCCCTCTCGCGAGGAAGAGGAGGAGGGTGACTGGGAGGACGAGGAGGAGGTGGAGGAGGACGAGGAGGACGAGGAGGAGAAGAAGTTGAAGGAGAAGGAGGACGAGGAGGAGGAGAAGGAGGAGGAGGAGGAGGTGGAGGAGGACGAGGAGGACGAGGAGGATAAGGAGTTGAAGGAGAAGGAGGAGGAGGAGGAGGAGGAGGAGAGGAGGAGGAGGAGGAGGAGGAGGAGGTGGAGGTGGAGGACGAGGAGGAGGCGGAGCAAGAGGAGGAGTTGGAGCGAAAGGAGGAGGAGGAGGAGCTGGAGCTGGAGTTGGAGGAGGAGGAGAAAAATTATCCTGGCGAAAGACCCAACCATAAGCAATTGTTGGTAACGCGTTGTGGGTGCCGCTTTCGGTGGGGCTCCATATGGGGCCACGAAGCGCTGCCTTGGATAGGGGGAACCGCATGCGGACTGCGCCACCGGGGCGGGCCTTCGGTGGAGCTCCCTATGGGGCTACGAAACGCTGCCCTGGGTGGGGGAACCGCATGCGAACTGCGCCACTGGGGCCTTCGGTGGAGCTCCCTATGGTGCCACGAAACGCTGCCCTGGGTGGGGGAAGCGCATGCGAACTGCGCCACGGGGGCTTTCGGTGGAGCTCCCCATGGGGCCACGAAGCGCTGCCCTGGGTGGGGGAACCGCATGCGAGGGCAGCCACTGGGGCCTTCGGTGGAGCTCCCTATGGGGCCACGAAACGCTGCCCTGGGTGGGGGAACCGCATGCGAACACCCCCACTGGGGCCTTCGGTGGAGCTCCCTATGGGGCTACGAAGCGCTGCCCTGGGTGGGGGAACCGCATGCGAACACCCCCACTGGGGCCTTCGGTGGAGCTCCCTATGGGGCCACGAAACGCTGCCCTGGGTGGGGGAACCGCATGCGAACACCCCCACTGGGGCCTTCGGTGGAGCTCCCTATGGGGCTACGAAACGCTGCCCTGGGTGGGGGAACCGCATGCGAACACCCCCACTGGGGCCTTCGGTGGAGCTCCCTATGGGGCTACGAAACGCTGCCCTGGGTGGGGGAACCGCATGCGAACACCCCCACTGGGGCCTTCGGTGGAGCTCCCTATGGGGCCACGAAACGCTGCCCTGGGTGGGGGAACCGCATGCGAACACCCCCACTGGGGCCTTCGGTGGAGCTCCCTATGGGGCTACGAAACGCTGCCCTGGGTGGGGGAACCGCATGCGAACACCCCCACTGGGGCCTTCGGTGGAGCTCCCTATGGGGCTACGAAACGCTGCCCTGGGTGGGGGAACCGCATGCGAACACCCCCACTGGGGCCTTCGGTGGAGCTCCCTATGGGGCCACGAAACGCTGCCCTGGGTGGGGGAACCGCATGCGAACACCCCCACTGGGGCCTTCGGTGGAGCTCCCTATGGGGCTACGAAACGCTGCCCTGGGTGGGGGAACCGCATGCGAACACCCCCACTGGGGCCTTCGGTGGAGCTCCCTATGGGGCCACGAAACGCTGCCCTGGGTGGGGGAACCGCATGCGAACACCCCCACTGGGGCCTTCGGTGGAGCTCCCTATATGGGGCCACGAAACGCTGCCCTGGGTGGGGGAACCGCATGTGGACACCCCCACTGGGGCCTTCGGTGGAGCTCCCTATGGGGCCACGAAACGCTGCCCTGGGTGGGGGAACCGCATGTGGACACCCCCACTGGGGCCTTCGGTGGAGCTCCCTATGGGGCTACGAAACGCTGCCCTGGGTGGGGGAACCGCATGTGGACACCCCCACTGGGGCCTTCGGTGGAGCTCCCTATGGGGCCACGAAACGCTGCCCTGGGTGGGGGAACCGCATGTGGACACCCCCACTGGGGCCTTCGGTTGGAGCTCCCTATGAGGCCACGAAACGCTGCCCTGGGTCGGGGGAACGCTATGGGACACACCACTGGGGCCTTCGGTGGAGGTCTACCTATGGGGCCCAAGGAAACGCTGCCCTGGGTGGGGGAAAACCGCATGCGAACACCCCCACTGGGGCCCTTCGGTGGAGCTCCCTATGGGGCCACGAAACGCTGCCCTGGGTGGGGGAACCGCATGCGAACACCCCCACTGGGGCCTTCGGTGGAGCTCCCTATGGGGCCACGAAACGATGCCCTGGGTGGGGGAACCGCATGCGAACACCCCCTCTGGGGCCTTCGGTGGAGCTCCCTATGGGGCTACGAAACGCGTGAGAGGTGTGCCGAGAGCAAAGGCAAGGAGGGGGAGGAGGGAGGAGGAGGAGGAGAGGAGAGGAACGCGGGGCACCGTCTCTTCAAAACGGGACCCAACACCCACAGGATGGTAGGGAAAAGGAGGAGGAGGAGGAGGAGGAGGAGGAGAGGAGGAGGAGAAAAAAAATGAGGAGGAGGAAGAAGAGCTGGGAGGAACTGGAGGAGCTGGAGGAGGAGGGGGAGCAAGGCAGGAGGAGGAGGAGTAGGAGAAGGAGTTGGGAGGAGGAGGGGGAGGAGGAGGAGGAGGGAGGAGGAGGAGGAGGAGGAGGAGGAAGGAGAAGGAAGCTGGAGGAGCGAGAGGAGGAGGAGGGTTGGAGGAGAAGAGGAGAGGAGGAGGAGGAGGAAGAAAGAAGGAGGAGGAGGAGGAGGAGGAGGAGAAAAGGAGGAGAAGGAGGATTTTCTGAAAAGCAAGGAGGAGGAGGAGTTGGAGGCGGAGGAGGAGGAGTTGGAGGAGAAGGAGGAGGAGGAGGAAGAGGAGGAGAAGAAGGAGAAGGCGGAGGAGGATAAGGAGGAGGAGGACAAGGAGGAGGAGGAGGAGGAGAAAAAGGAGGAGGAGGAGGAGGAGCTGGAGGAGAAGGAGGAGGACAAGGGGGAGGAAAAGGAGGAGTTGGAGTTGGAATTGGAGTTGGGGGAGAAGGAGGAGGAGCTGGAGGAGTTGGAGGAGGATGAGGAGTTCGAGGTGGAGTCGGAGTTGGAGTTGGAGTTTGAGCAGAGTTGGAGTTGGAGTTGGAGTTTGAGTTGAACTTGGAGTTGGAGTTGGAGGAGGAGGAGGAGGAGGAGGAGGAGGAGACGGAGGAGGAGGCGGAGGAGGAGGTGGACGAGGAGGAGGAGTTCAGGGTGGAGGATTAGGAGGAAGAGGAGGAAGAAGAGGAGGATCAGTGCAAACCCAGTTGTCATCAACGATGTTGGAATGAACCCTCCCTCCAAGATCCCTCTTCATAGGCCCCTACAACAGTTCATTTCCACTGGGGGAACTGCCTCGTTGGAAGACAACCGTTTGAAGACCCTGAAGCATGCCAAAACATTGTTCTCTGGATTTCCACGCCACCGATCAACATGACTGTTGCGTCCTGACGATCTGGAACCGTGACAGAACGCAAGTTTTGAAACTCCAACACCGCGAATCAACATAACTGCTGCGCCCGCATAATCCGGAACCCTTCCACAACAGCGTTTCTGGTACGCTGGCAATGGGAATCTGTGAAACTCTTGAAAAGTTGAAAACGAGTGTGCGCGGCGCTAAGGCGAGAACCACATTTTGAAAAACACCCGCCCTCAATCCGTGAAAGCCTTGCAAGTGTTTAAAGCGAATGCACGCGGTGCTAAGGCGAGAGCCACAATTTGGCAACTGCCCGCCCTCAATCCGTGAAGCGCTTGCAAACGTTCAAAACGAATATGCGCGGCGATAAGGCGAGAACCACATTTTGAAAAACACCCGCCCTCAATCCGTGAAAGCCTTGCAAGTGTTTAAAGCGAATGCACGCGGTGCTAAGGCGAGAGCCACAATTTGAAAACCACCAGCCCTCAATCAGTCAAACTGTTGCAAATTGTTATAACGTATGTGCACGGCGCTAAAGGCGAGAGCCACATTTTGAAAACGACCCGCCCTCCATCTGTGAAGCTGTTGTCGTTTTAAGCTTCAGAATCAAAAATGGTGAGGATGTCTCAAACGAAACGCCCGGCCCGCCCTAAAAACTGGCCTCGTGGTGCGAAAGGGAGAAGTTATTCACAAGGAAAAGGAACGGAGGAGAAGGGGGAGGAAGAGGAGGAGGAGGAGGAGGAGGAGTTGGAGTTGGAGTTGGAATTGGAGGAGAAGGAGGAGGAGGAGGAGAAGGAGGAGGACGAAGAGGAGTTGGAGTTGGAAGAGGAAGAGGAGGAGGAGCAGCAGCACGAGGACGTTGCGGGCCTGACCTCCGCAGTTGCGAGGCACGCACCACGGCGAGGATCGAAGCCTCACTCACCCCAGGCCGTCCCTGGGCGATGGAGGTTGGCTTCGTTAAAAAAAAATGCGGCTCCAGCTTCGCCCCCCGCTTGTCGCAAGAGGCTGGCTTCGGTGCTCGCAACAATATTGGGCTCCAGCTTCGCCCCCCGTTTCTCGCAAGAGGCTGTCGACTGGCTCCCGACGAAATTCAACCCTGCCTCGCACGATTGCTCCCCAGCCATCCGCGCACGAGCTGATCCCAGCACTGTAGTTAATAATGTACGCCCCTGTACTTTCGCGCACGACTGTTCCTGGCGGAGTTAGTTGGGTGCCGTCGGCCTCAATCATCGCCTCCCACTTCTCGCAGCCGTTTCCTCGCAGCGCCAGGGTCTGCGGGGTGCATTCCCCTCATCCACGGCCACTGCGCGCCCCCCTTCTCGCACGGACTGCCAACAGCGTTGTAGCTGATCGTGGCCCACCCGCGCGTTTCGCTCAGCACCAGCGTCCGCTGCCACTGCCCCAACGTTGTAGCTGATCGTGGCCCACCCGCGCGTTTCGCTCAGCACCAGCGTCCGCTGCCACTGCCCCAACGTTGTAGCTGATCGTGGCCCACCCGCGCGCTTCGCTCAGCACCAGCGTCCGCTGCCACTGCGCTCGCCCTTTCTCGCACGGGTTGCTCCCAACGTTGTAGCTGCCCGTGGCCGACCCGCGCGTTTCGCTCAGCACAAGCGCCCGCTGCCACTGCGCTCGCCCTTTCTCGCGCCGGCTGCTCCCAACGTTGTAGCTGATCCCCCACCCGCACGTTTTGCTCAGCACCAGCATCCGCTGCCACTGCGCTCGCCCTTTCTCGCACGGACTGCTCCCAGCTCTGTAGCTGATCGTGGCATGCCCGCCCGCTTCTTTCAGCGCCAGCGTCTGCTGCCACTGCCCGCTCCCTTTCTCGCACGGACTGCTCCCAACGTTGTAGCTGATCGCCCACCCGCACGTTTTGCTCAGTGCCAGCGTCCGCTGCCACTGCTCGCCCCCTTTCTCGCACGGCCTGCTCCCAGAATTGTAGCTGATCGTGGCCCCCCCGCACGTTTCTCTCAGCCTGTCTCCAGCATCTCGCGTTCCAGCCAGAGCCTGCTGCCACTGCTCGCCCTTCTCGCACGCGCTGGCTTCAACGCTGTAGCTAAGGACGTCAAGCTCTAGCTTCGTCTCCGTGTCTCGGAGTCTAGCCAGCGCCAGCTGCCACTGCCCGTTGTCTCACACGCTCTTTCGGCATTGTAGCTGAGCAAGTCTGACTGTTTCTCTACTATCGCCCGCTCTCGGGGCCAGGCCAGAGTGTGCTGTCACTGCTCGCTCTTCTCGCACACGCTGATTTCAGCAATGTAGCTGATGAAAGCGTTGGGCCCCTGCGATTCGTTGCCGGTGTGCTGTGCAGCGACACCAATGTTCGCCAGGAGGAGGAGGAGGAGGAGGAGGAGGAGGAGGAGGAGGAGGAGGGAGGGGGCGCAGGAAAGGAGAGGACGAGAGGAGAGGAGGACATCCTGACATCCTGGCCCCTCTGCATGCGCCTATTCACGGCTAGCTGCCGCTTCTTGATGGCCCATGGTTCTTGATGGCTCCCCGAGGCAACACCGCTCCGAAATTCCCCTCGGGAATACCCGGGCCGGCCCACGCAGGGAGGGGTCGCTCGGGCGCGGAACGGCTGAGCAAGAGGAGGAGGAGGAGGAGGAGGAGGAGGAGGAGGAGGAGGAAGAGGAAGAGGCGGAGAAGGAGGAGGAGGAGTTGGAGTTGGAGTTGGAGTTGGAGTTGGAGTTGGAGTTGGAGTTGGAGTTGGAGTTGGAGTTGGAGTTGGAGTTGGAGGAGTTGGAGTTGGAGTTGGAGTTGGAGTTGGAGTTGGGGAGAAGAAGGAGGAGGAGGAGGAGGAGGAGGGGGAGGAGGAGAAGGAGGAGAAGGAGGAAGGAGGAAGAGTTGGAGGAGGAGGAGGAGGAGGAGGAGCTGGAGTTGCAGGAGGAGGAAGAGGAGGAGGAGGAGGAGGAGGAGGAGGAGGAGCTGGAGTTGGAGTTGGAGTTGGAGTTGGAGGAGGAGGAGGAGGAGGAGGAGGAGGAGGAGGAGGAGGGCCGGCCGCTCCGAGCCGCCCGACGGCTCCGAGCGGCGGTGGCTCGTCGCCCCCTCGCGGCGGCGGCCGGCGGGCGGCTGCGACAGCGCCCCCCGCCGCGAGGGTGGCGGCGTGCGCCATCCCAGCCGTGCACCCTCGGGCTCTTGCGCCGCAGCCGTCGTCGTTGTCGTCGTCGTCGTCGTCGTCACCGTGCTCGTGGTCGTAAGCGTCGGCAGTGGCCGCCGCGGTCGTCATCCGACGAACATCTGGGCGACGAGCAAAAACGGGTCTTGCGCACGATGACATAGCGACCTTACGTCGCAGCTTACGCGGGCCGCCAGCGCGGCACGCCACACTGGTAACGAGGGCGCTCACGCGCGACCTTACGCGGGAAGTTTACGCGCCAAAGTCGGCGAAGACGACCCCGTTTTCTTGCGTCGCTCATATCAAGTTTGGAATAAATCAATTCTGCAGTCGATCCCCTACTCGAAATGAGTCCTGGGAAATTCAGGTCGGATGATCCACCACATCGCCGGTGCGTGGTCAATGCGGCGGCGATCTGGAGCCCGTTCCTCTGTGCCTCGCCGTCACCGATGCATCGCCGATGCATCGGTGTCGTTCTGTTTTCATTTTCCCTCGCCTTGTTTCCCATCCGCCCTTGCTGCAGAACGGAGCCGAAACGAAAACGGCCCAGTAGATCGCCCAAAACACCGTTTGGGTCGACCCCTGGTCGTGATCGCTCTCGTCGCCGTCTTCCCCGCGATCCCCGACCGCACTTGATGACATGCTCGTCCCCGCGATCTCCAACCGATCAGTCCTGAGCTTCGTCGCCCCGTCCCCAGACCTCCGGCGGCTCGACGAGGTCACGCCGAAGGTTTTTGTTCGGCTCTCCCTGCGTCCGCGAACCGCCTGCGGGCCCCGCGGGTCATCAGAGGTATGGCTCGGGAGGGGGGCCGCCGGCCCCGAGGAGAGGTCGAGAGCTCCCAGGGCCAACGGCTGGAAAAAAAAAACTCGCATCGTCGGGGGTCTCGGTCGGGCTCCTACGCGTCCTGGGCTGCCCCGCTTCGCGCCTAGAACGCCGCGCGGAGGCGCGGCTGCCTTCGCGCACTTCTGCGCCGCCGAGCCGAAGGAGGGCGCCTCTCTTACGAGAGCGGCGCCCAGCGTGCCACGTCTGGACTCCCAGGCCCCGCTACAACGCCGCACGGTACACAGGTTGTGCGGCCCCAAAGGGGCCGAGAAACTGTGCACCGCACCATTCCCGGGCCGAGCATCGACGACGCCTCGGGGGAGACGCCCACGCGGTACGGTGCACGTAAGCTGGCGGCGCGCACAAGGTGGTAGAGGGAGGGGGGAAGGCTTCTCAGAGGGCGGCTGCCTCTTAGAAGGCGCCGACCACCCTTCTAAGAAGCCAGGGGCGCGTCGCTTTTTTTCGGAGCACCCCAGCAGCTTCTAAGAAGCACGGAACTGCTTCTGAGAATAAAAAACAGCTCCTCAGAGGCAAGCCACCTGCTTCTCAAAGCACGCCGGGAGCAGCTTCTAAGAGGCAGCCACGAGCTTCTCAGCAGGCGCGCCCGCGCCTTCCACCCCTCCCGCCAGCCCCCCCCTGCGCGTGGCTGTCGAAGTCCTCCGCGCCTCCCCGGCCCAGGACGCGAGGCGCGCGGCGCAGGCTCGTCCTCGGGCCCCCGGCAGGTGGTCCGGGTCCCCCCATCGGTCTCTCGAGGCCGCCCCTCCCTCGGGCTGCCACGCCCTCGCGCGGCCACCGCCGCCCGCGGAGAGTGCACGCGCCCATACAAACGGGGCTTCACACGGTGCCTCGCTGGCAGACGCCGGGCCCGGGTCTCGGCCACGCCAGCGGCAGCGTCTGGCCGACCCCGGCCGTTGCAAGAGTCACCAGCGCCAGGCGGGGAGCTCGCCGCCCTGCATCTCACTCCCTCCTGCCTCCCTCGTTCCCTCCTCCGTCCCTCCCCTTTGCTGCGCCATCCCTTCGTCCCCCCAGATAACCCTGCTCATTTGGCGGCTCGCAAGGCCTGCTGCTTCCTCAGGCCGGCTGCATTCCCCCCTCCTCCTTCCGCCATCCCCTCGGACCCTTCCTCACCTCGTCTCACGCCTCCTCCGACATCTCCTCCACCCTCCCTCAGAATACGTTCAAAGCAAGTCCCTGGACCACTTGTGGGCAGCATCCTGACCTCTTTGAGGCCGCGTCCAGCCGTGGCGACGAAGGGGACGCCCAGGGGAGGACGAGGAGGAGGACGAAGAGGAGTCCTCACCGTCGCCCTCCTCCTCCTCCTCCTTTTCCTCCTCCTCCTGCTCCTCCTCCTCCTCTTCCTCCTCTTCTTCCTCGTCCTCCTCCTCCTGTTCCTCCTCCTCTTCCTCCTCTTCTTCCTCCATTCCTTTTCCTTCTAGATAACTTCTAACGAGGGCGCGCCGCTGGATCCCCCCAAAGGGGGGGGGAACCCCCCCTTTTCCCCCGTCCGTCGTCGGGAACCCACCCCCCGCCTTTCCGGGTCCGTCGTCGGGAACCCCCCCCCTTTCCCGGTCCGTCGTCGGGACCCCCCCGTTTCAAAAGGGGGGGGGACTTGGGCTCGAAATTCACCCCCCCCCCCCCTTCCCTCCTTTTCACCACGCCGCGCGCCGCCCCCTGACTGCAGAACCCGTCCCCCCCCGACCACCCCTAACCCTAATCCTCACCCTGACCCCAGACCCTGAACCCAACCCCTAACCTGACCCCAAACAACACTCGATATTCACTACTCACTACCCAGTGCCCACTGCCAACTACTCACTACTCACTCTTTCCTACTCACTACTCGCTACTCGCTACTCACTACTCACTACTCACTACTCACTACTGTCTCTATCCTCATTGCTCACTACTCAATACGCACGATTTACTGCCCACTACTCACTACCCACTACTCACTACTCACTAAACACTATCCACAACTCCCTACTCACTACTCCCTATTCACTACTCACTACTCACTACGCAGTACTCAATACTCACTACTCTCTACTCGCTTCTCCCTACCTATTACCCACTACTCACTACTCACTTCTCGCTACTCCCTACTCGGTACTAGCTACCCAATACTCACTACTCACCACCCACCACTCACTACTCACTACTCACTACTCAACTCTCAAGACTCCCTATTCTCTACTCACTACACTCTACTAACTACTCACTACTCACAACTCACTACTCACTACTCATTACTCACTACTCATTACTCACTACTCACTACTCGCTATTCCCTCCTCGCTACTGGCTACTCACTACTCCCAACTCGCCACCCACTATTCACTACTCACTATTCACTAATCACTATTCACAGCGCAAGCCTCCCCACTCACTAGCCACTACTCATTACCCACTACTCGCTACTCACCGCTCACTACCAGCTACTCACCACTGACTAGTCACTAGTCAATACTCACTACTCACTACTCACTACCCTCTACTCACTACCCACCTCTCACATGTCATTACACACCACCCACTACTCACTACTCACAACTCATTACTCACTACTCTGTACTCGCTACTCAATACTCTGTACTCGCTACTCCCTACTGGCTGCCCACTACTCACTACTCATTACTGCCTACTCCCTACTCACTACTCACTACGCACTACCCACTACTCGCATCTCACTGTTCTCTACTCGCTACTCCCAACTCGCTACTCACTCCTCACTACCCACTATCAACTACCCACTACTCACTACTCACTACTCACTACTCACTACTGCCTATTCACTAAACACTACTCACTACTCACTGTTCACTACTCAATACTCCTACTCACTACTCCCTACTCTCTCCTCACTACCCACTAGTCCCTACTCGCTACTCACTACTCACTACTCTCTACTCATTACCCATTACTCACTACTCACTAATCATTAGTCACTACGCACTACTCATTACTCACCACTGACTATGCACTACCCTCTACTTCACTACTCACTACTCCCCACTCCCTACTCCCTACTCAGTACTCACTACTCATTCCTCACTACTCACTATTCAATAATCACTACGCACAACTCACGACTCACTACTCACTGCTCACTACTCACTACTGACGACTCACTACTCACTACTGCCTACTACTCACTACTCACTACTCACTACTCACTACACACTACTCACTACTCACTACTCACTACTCGCTACACGCTACTCTCTACTCACTACTCACTATACTCACCACTCACTACTCACTATCCCTACTCCATACTCCCTACCCACTTCCTCCAGAGCAGAAAGGAACAGCGGGAGAGGCTCCCTCCCGGGCTCTCTGTCCGGCGCAAAGGAGAGGAGGGGGGGGGGTCGAAGCCCATGCCCCCCTTTCCAGCGACAAGGGGGGGGAGGGGGGGGGTCCGGACCCCCCCTCCCCCCTTCAAGGGAGGGGGGCGGGAAGGGGTTCGAACCCCCATCCCCCGCCCTTAAGGGGGGAGGGGGGGGTCGAAAATCTCACCTCCCCTTTGAAAGAAAGGGGGGATCCGACCCCCCCCCCTTTTCGAGTACAGGGTGATCCAGTGGCGCGCTTTCTAACATCTCCCTGTCGCACCCCGAGGCCAGTTTTTAGGGAAGGGCCAGGCGTTTCGCCTGAAACTTCCTCACCACTTGTGACTCTGAAGCTTGAAAATTGGAAACAAATTCACACATGAAGGGCGGGTGGTTTTAAAAAGTGGTTCTCGCCTCAGCACCGCGCACATTCGTTCCAAAAATTTGCAAGAGTTACACGGATTGAATCTAACCCGTTTTCATAAGTGTGGTTCTCGCCTTAGCGTCACGCACGTTCGTTGAAAAGATTGCAAGAGCTTCACGGATTGAGGACGGTTCTTTTTCAACATGTGGCTCTCGCCTTAGCGCCGCGCGCATTCGTTTAAAAAAATGGCAAGAGCTTCACGGATGGAGGGCGGTTCCTTTTCTAAATGTGGCTCTCGCCTTAGCGCCGCGTACATTCGTTTAAAACAATTGCAAGAATGTCACGGGTTCCCACGATCAACGTACCAGAAATGCTGTCTTGGAAGGATTCAGGATTTGGCGGGTGCAACAGTTACGTTGATTCGCGGCGTTGAAATCCCAAGAATGGCGTTCTGGCACGATCCACGATCGTCAAGTCACAACAGTCAAATTGATCCGTGGCGTTGAAATCCCGAGAACCATGTTTTGGCATGCTTCCAGGTCTTCAAACGGTTGCCTTCCAACGAGGCAGATCCCTCAATGGAAATGAACTGTCGTAGGGGCCTATGAAGAAGGAGCTTGGAGGGAGGGTGTCTTCCATATCGTTGATGGCTCTTGGGTTTACACTGGTTCTCCTCCTCCTCCTCCTCCTCCTCCTCCTCCTTCTCTTCCTTCCCCTGCTCCACCTCCTCCCCCTCCCCCTCCTCCTCTCATTCCCCGACCCTGGTGCTGGCCCAAAGCCGTAAGACGGCTGGCGCGGAAATGCGGACCACATTGGGCTGCCCCATTCCTGTGGCCCGCACGCGCGCCGAAAAGCCGTGCAAAGTTGATACAGTTTATACAGTTGCAGGGTGCGTTGGAGGACACCAAATATACACCTACACCGATGCTGGCCCGGTTCACCCTGGGCCCAGGATCGGTGCATACGCCATAGTAGCTTGGGCAGGAAGACATATGTATAGATATTTTTATATATATATATGGAGAAAGAGAAAGAGAAAGAGAAAGAGAAAGAGAGAGAGAACAAAAAACAACACAACAAACGATTGATCCTGGGCCCAGGATCGGCCTGGCCAGGATCGGTGCAGGTGCATAGTTGCAGCCCTCCGAGTGGGGGCAGAGGCGAGCCCAGAGTGGTGGTGTCTTCCTCTTCGGGCGCTCACGCGGGACATCCCGCACGACCGCACCTCGCAGATCGGCTCACCCTGCAGCCCCACGGGCGGTGGCGGTGGTGCGTGGAGGTGAAGAGGGAGAAGGGGAGAGGGAGAGTGCGAGACAGGAGAGGGAGAGGGGAGAGGGCAAGCTAGGTGCGCTCTCGTCATATATGACGTCCTAACCCCCTCTCCCATCCCTCACAGTGGCGTAGATATTCTCGTTATTCGCACAATCGGATGTCGTAGCAGAGCATAGCATTACATGGCAAAGAATGGTGTTGAAGATCAACGCGTATCCTGACATAGCATGGCGCGTGGCGACGCCCCAATGTGGGGGGGGCTTCTGAGGTCAAAAAAAACATCGAATGGACATCGAATTTGCAATCACTTCCGATGGTTGCTTTTTGGGGGGCATTTTCTAGATTTTGGTGCCGATTTGGAAGGACCGAAAGCATGCCGTGGCATGGCGCTGGAAACTATGACGCCAGCGCTGCAGCGGGAGCACGATTCGGAACGAGCGGAAGCGCGGAAATGAGGCCAGCGCTGCAGCGGAGCACAATTCGGAACGAGCGGTAGCCCGAAAATGAGGCCAGTGCTTCAGCGAGAGCAGCATTTTGACAAAACCCAAACGAAAACCCAACTCCCAGGAATCCTTTGTGAAAAAAAAACCGTACGCGGAAGGGGGCCGAATATTTCCCGGACGTCGCCAGGGGAGAGAGGAGAGTAGCATCTCCCCAATCAGAGCTTGCCTCTGTAGGGGTCCTAGCGGATTCATATGTGCTGGTGACCTACGTCGCCGAGCTCGGCGGCCAGGCCCGGGTGCCCGGGTGCCCGGGGGTGCCTGGGTGCCCAGATGCCCGGGGGTGCCCTGGTGCCCGGATGCCCGGGGGTGCCCGGGTGCCCGGGGGTGCCCGGGTGCCCGGGTGCGCAGGCCCCGGTGCCCAGGTGCCCAGGTGCCAGGGTGCCCGGGTGCCCCGGGTGCCCGGGTGCCCAGGTGCCCGGGTGCCTTGTAGCCCCATAGCCCCAATAGCCTTATAGCCGTATAGCCTTATAGCTCTATCGCCCTAGAGC